CGGTTGGAATGTTGAGTCATGGCATTCATAGACAAAAGTCTAGTTTGTCAAGCTGTAGCAATTTGCACTTGTTCTGAGTATCAAATGTCTTTATCTTTCACAGTTTGAGTTCTGGTCAACTAACCAACCATCCAAGCTAGGTCAAATGGGTTGCAAGTCTGAGAGTTCACACACACCTGCCTCCACTTCAGACCAGCTGTCCACTTCACACTCAGCCGTAGCCTCCAGGGGCTTAGTTAATGCCCATGGGCTCAGGGGTTCACACATTTTCCTAAACTTCAGACCAGCTGGCACTTCCTCCTCTCTTTCACATCTCAAAGTCAACCAATGCCAATGGAATATGGCCAAACTCAGCCCATGTCTTCATTGCTGCGTTTCCCCCAGTTATACTCACAAGTGGACCCAGATTGTCACCAGTGTTTATGGGTTCCCTTTGTGTTTCACTCCTAGAAGGAGTCCACAGGGTTTTCAGTAGTTGATTTTTGTGGAAGTAGATTATAAGACCTTTTTTTCTGAGGTGACTTTGGGTGGATTTGAACCTCCTTTCATTTAGCAGATGAACTCATTGATTGTTTGCACTACCCAGGGAGTCTCACTCCGTTATTAGAAATATTTTAAATCTACTCAGATGAATTTTTAGAATTTTTATTTCTTGTCATCAGCGTAATGTTGTTAGGTGCTGTGGTGTTGGTTCCGACTTACAGTGTGACCCCATGGGAAAGAATAAAACTGTCCAAATTCGTTTTCCAGGCTATAATCTTTATAGGAAGGAGCCCTGGTGGTGCTGTGGGTTAGGCATTGAACTGCCTACCACAAGGTCAGCAGTTCTAATCTATCAGCTGCTCTGTGGGAGAAAGATGAAGCTGTCTGCTTCGTTAAAGATTTGCAATCTAAGGAATCCTGTATGTATATAGGGTTACTGTGAGTAAGAATTGATTCTTTGGCAGTGGGGATCTTTACAGGAACACATCACCTGGTTTTTCTCCTGTGGAGCTGATGGGTGGTCTTGAACTACCAACCTTTGGTTAACGGCCAAGTTCGTAACCACTGCACCACCAGGACTCCACATCAGCACCATAATCACCACTATAAAAAGAATTTTGATTTAATGATAATTTCACTGTGTCAGGTACCATCTTTACACTAATTATCTCATTTAATTATTTTTGTCACTTTTTAAGTAAGAAGAGAAAGATGTTTAATAATTTGCCAACTAGCATGTGACAGAGCCAGGGTTCAAATTTAGGCATGTTTGATTCCTGGGCCTCTGCTTTTACCCTGAGCCATCTTAGGCCCCGCTTTTCATTTACAAATTCTAAACTGAGCCCCAAAATGCAAAAGCATTTGCCAAGGATTCCTGGTAGCATAATGAGTTACCCCACATAGGGTTTCTGAAGCTATAAATCTTTTCAGGAGCAGAAATCCTCATCTTTCTCCCACGGGAAGGCTGGTAGTTTTCAACTACTAACCTTGAGGTTAGCAGCCTGACTTGTAACCACTACGCTACCAAAGCTCCTTCCAAGGTGTCCTGCTGTTGCTGCTGCTGTTATATGCTGTGGAGTCAGTTCCCACTCATAGCGACCCTCTATGTACAGGGTTTCCAAGGCTGTAAATCTTTACTGAAGCAGAAAACCTCATCTTTCTCCCACAGAACAGCTGGTAGTTTCGAACTGCTGACCTTGCGGTTCACAGCCCGATTGGTAACCACTACACTACCCCAAGGCTTCCTAGCTGGTGGCAAAGCTAGGGTTCCTGTTAGGTACTCCCTTCCTGCCCTCCTTCAGACTCAGAGACGGCTTCAGAGCCTCATCCTTAAAGAAGCAGCCAGCGTCTTTCTCCCAGAGCCACAGGCTAACAAAAACAATAAGACCTGCTTATAAAAAGTGTCCTTTCTGCATCTCATAAAGCCTTAATTTCTTATAAAGGCTTAAATCCTTACATTTGTCTATAATTATGAAAAGTCCCCTTTCAATCAAATTCTTGCTCAATTAGAGCATAAACTGCCATAATTCCTTCTCTCCTTTTCGCCCCCAGGAAAGAGATGTCATTTCATTGTCACAGAGAGAAATGACTTAATTCACCAAACAGCAAAGGCAAGGGCCAGGCAGTCAGCTGCATACTTCCTCCTGAATAACCTGAGGTAGTCGTGGATATGAATGGCTTTTGCTAGCATGCTTTTCTGTTTGTCTTTTACAGACTCAGTTTTGGAGCTCCAACTAGCTAATATATATATTCAGTCATTGGATTTCACTATTAATTTAATTCTTATTGAACAAACATTCTAAAAGAAGATGATAGTGAAGAAGTGCTAATGGAAATTGTTTAGGACAAGATTGATTGTTAAATAAAAATGTAAAAAAATCCATATTATAAAAGTAAAGGGATTATAGTAAAAGAAAAATGGTTTTAATGTAAACATTTTTTTAATGAGAAACAAGAAATAGCCTGTATCAAGGATTCTTGCTTTTGTTCATCTTCCAAAGAATTTTTTTTTTTTTATTGTGAATTATGTGATAGTTTACATGGGAGAACAATAGTTTTACTTTCATGCTATGGTATATCGTTTCATTGCCATGGTTACAATCCCCTCCATGCATCATCACCTTACCAAAGGGTATACACTACAAGCCTGCCCCCTGGTCATCAGCACATAGCCCCTCTCCCTCTCTGTGTCTGAAGTCCCCAACTGCTCCATCTCTCCATGCCATCATCTCTGCCTCCATCTCAGGCATCACTGTTTCTCTGGGTAGGGTCCCGCTCTCTGCTCTTCTCCCTTGATGGTCCTAGGGACCTCTGCTCCTAGACTGAAAAGTTAATCACTCCCCTCCTTGCTATAAAATGTCTGCCTTTACATTTCCAACCCTCACAATCAGTCCTGATAACAATTATTCACTATTGTATCACAAGAGACCCATCTGCATTTCATTTCATCAGCCCCACCTAGATAGATTGGATACTACTCTGTGGAGATTCTACAGTGCTCCACGCCCTCTGCCAAATAATTTTTTAACAGCTGTTTTCCTATATCAATTAATTCCCAAAGAAAAAGCAATGGTACAAATCCATACCAAAAAGGAGTAAAGTTTGAATAGAGTGGACAAATTTCTTACTTCACTTATCTACTTTAAGCAACTCTGTCATGCCTGAATTTTCTTTTTTTTTTAATCATGTGTTTTCGGGAATGGAAGACATGCTGAATCATTAAGTGTATCTGATTTTTTGGTACATAAGAAATTTTGTGATAAAATCATAGATTTTGATATATATTATGTGAGCTACATTATGTCTCCTGGAAACTGGGGAGTAGCTCTATGTGGGATGTATATACTGTTCTTGGTATGGCAGTGTTGTAGGATCAGCACTGGACTTTGAACCACCAGGTCAGCACTTCAAACCTACCAGCTGCTCCTCAGCAGCCCTGTACTGAGTCACCATGAGTCAGAACTGACTTGATGGCACTTAACAACAATATACTACTCTAGACTTTGGAGGTAAATTAAGTGGTACACATATGTTTCTCATCTAATCCCTTTAGCAGGATCAAACCATGTATGCTGCCAGAAGATGTGGTATTTGCAAAAATGCGGAGTCATTACCAGACACGCAATTTCCAAATAGCGCACAGGAATCTGGAAACAATACTTAACAAGGCTTATCTCACTGAACAAAAGCCAAACGCGACAACAGTTTTGCAGTTACACCTCGAGGAGGTATCACCCCATCCAGTATTTTGTAAAAACAGTACTTTGTGGCACACACCTGCTTCTTCCATTTCTAGCAGTTATAGGGTAACTGCCTAAGAAACTTGAGAGATTGTAAAAGTTGGTGGATACTGTATAGTCACCAGCCGAATAATGAGGTCTTGTACCTCCTTTGAAGGACTTGTTCACAAGCTGATTAGAATATCTGTCACTCATCATTCTTGAAGACTGTTATTAAGCCCAGAGTCTCCACCCAGCCCTGAATCTAATCTTTTATTACAAGTACAGACTTCAGGGCCTGCCTCACACCCGTGGGGTTTTCTGAAATTATGGCTCTGAGAGTTCCCCTTAGAGCATGTGGTCAGTATGCTTTTCAATCTTAGCTGGTATGTCAGCATTCAAGATGATTTTTAGTTTGCATGCTACCTAGATTCCACAGTTATTCTCTTTCTCCCTTTTTTCCCTTTAGGCAGCTGTACTTAACCACTCCTTGGTAATTTCTAGAGGATAGATGGTACAGAGAAAAGTTCCCCCTTTAGTTTATTTTGCTGCTTATTAGTGTCTCTGTTACAGGCATAATTTTATTATTGAAGGAAGTTGAATAAATAACTTAAAAAAGATCTGGAGGCAATCTGATCTCTGGTTTCTTCTGTTCTTTGTTGTCTGTGTGCATTATTGGAATCCTGGTGGGGCGTTGTGGGTTAATGCGCCTGATTGCAAAGTCATTTGAACTGCAAGGTTGGCTGTTTAAGCTTACCAGCTGCTCCTTGGAAACACTACACAGAGTCACTATGGTTTGGAACCGACTCGACGGCACTTAACAACAACAACAACAACAACATGTGCATTATCAAGGAGTCCTGGTGGTACAGGGGTCAATTATTTGACTGTAAATACTTGGTGATTCAAGCCTAGCCAACAGCTTCACATAGCAGTCTGCTCTGGTAAAAGATTTGTTGTTGTTAAGCACCATTAAGTCAGTTTTGACTCAAAGCAATCCTGTATAGGGTTTCCAAGGAGCGTCTGGTGAGCTTGAACCATTGACCTAATAGTTCTAACTGAATTATTATTTTTTTTTTTTAAGGAATTTTTTTTTTTTTTTTTTAAAGATTGAAGGTGTGTATGGGTAATTAGTACTTTGAGGTTCTTTGGCATTGCTTTGGACTTTCTTTTGCTTTAGTTTTGGGTTTTGATGTTTTTGCCAGTTCACTTTATGACTAATGCTTCAAAATATTATGTGTATGTAGGGTTCCCAGTAAATGCTCAATAAATATAAGTTGGCTTGCCATTCTTTCCTAGAAATCAAAGCCCAAGTTCTACGTGCTTTCCATGTTCCCGTACCCTTCTGGCAAGCTGCACATGGGCCATGTGCGGGTCTACACCATCAGCGACACCATTGCACGGTTCCAGAAGATGAGAGGGATGCAGGTAAGGACAGGCAACTACTGAAACAGCCCTATTCTCCTTTACTTGGGACAGCAGGCGTTGTTGTAATATGTGTTCAAAAGACAAATGAAGAGAGCAGATGTTGGTTAAGATTGGGACAGCTTTGAAGATAAACATGAAAGACTTAGTGCTTCCTTTGATGAATCAGAAAACATTATAATAAAGCATTCGTGTTAATTGGGGGGATAGTGTGTGCTGGATGTTTTGTTTGGGATGGAGGTGGAATGAAAGGTAAATGTAAATGTGCTAACATATGCTACCTGCCCAGGAGCAGAGCACAGTCGGCTGGGGGTGACACACATATAAATAATCAATGTACAGGGCAGCGAATGAATCCAGTAGTACAAATATGCATCAAATGATGGCGGTAAAAGATGGAACCGCAAGAATTTGTTTTTTGTTTTTTTCCTGTTCTGTGTTTTCCATATTCTCTAGTGAGCATGTATTTATTTTATAATGGGTAAGAATAGAAATTTTACGTGAGTACTATAGTTGGGAAATAACACCAGGGAAGGTTGGAAAGGCTCTACTAATGGGGAATATCTGACATGGGTCTTGAAGGGTTTTTATTTTATCAGGTAAACCTCTGTAAGGCCTAGTTTCCTCTCATCTGTAAATTGGGGATAAAGAGTATCTACCCCATTGGAGCTGTGTGCTAATACATCAGACTACAAAATTGTTTGAACTGCAAGGTCGGTGGTTCAAGCTCACGACCTGCTCCTTGGAAACCCTATAACAGGATTGCTATGAGTCGGAATCAACTCGACAGCACTTAACAACAAGTCCCATTGGCCTACTGCAAGAATTCAAAGAGGATGACTTTGAAGCACTTAGTACACACCTGGCACATAGTACGTAAGCTATTGGCTTGACTAATGAACACTAATGAAATGGACAAAGATGTGCAGTCAGCTCTCAGAAGGCCCCTGACTGCCAGTCTGGCAGTCACTATTTCTTAGTTACATGCAGTGTCCGATGGATGACCCAATAAGCAAGGTAAGCGCAGGCTTACTTGTGCATACTTAATTATATGTAGTGAACTGTTTCACATTTTTTCAATACATCAGAAATGCTGCTTCTAGGTATGGCTGGAATCTGTCTCACTCCCAACCCCACAGCACCTTTCTATAGAATCAAAGTTGATTTTCAAATTTACAATCCCTGACAAGGATGGAGTATGGGGTTTGTTTGTGTTTAGTTACTCACCTGTAGTGAAGAGTTTCACCATGAAACCCATTTGAAATTTTTCACTATAGATAAGTATGTAAGCCTAAGTCAGCCAGTGGTTACCTTGCTTATTGAGTAATCCGACACTGTGTGTAACCAAGAAATATCAATGATTGCCAGCAGTGGGCAGGAGCCTGCTCACACCAGCTCCTGAGAATTGAATGTACCTATCTTTGCCCAATTTCGTCTTCATTAATCAAGTTAACAGCTTGAAATCCACCACAGCAGGAATATTTGTTGTTGTTTGGTGCTGTCAAAGAGTTCTGATTCATAGTGACCCCATGTGCCACTGAACGAAACACTGCCCAGACCTGAGAAATGGTCACAGTCGTTGCTGTGTTTAAGCACATTGTAACCACCATGTCAATCCATTGCACTGAGGATCTTCATCTTTTTCACTGACTCTCTACCGAAGATGATGTCCTTCCAAAGGGACTGGTCCCTCCTGGTAACAAGGCCAGTGTACATGAGATATCTCACCAACCTCTCTTCTAAGAAACATTCTGGCTGTACTCCTAAGATTTGTTTTTTCTTCTGGTTGTTGTTATTGTTGTTGTTAGGTGCCATCAAGTCAGAACCGACTCATAGCACACTTACCTTATGCACAGCAGAACGAAACACTGCCAGATCCTGGGCCAACTTCACAATTGTTGCCAAGCTTGAGCCCATTGATGCTGCCACTTGGCCAATCCATCTCGCTGGGCATATTCCTCTTTTTCTCTGACCCTCCACCTTCTCTAGCAAATGGTCCCTCCAGACAATATGTCCAAAGTATGAGAGACGAAGTTTGGCCATCCTGGCCTCCAAGGAACACTCTGGCTGCACTTCTTCCAACACAGATCTGTGTTGCCCATGGCACTTCCAATATTCTCCTCCAGCACCACAACTCAAAAGTGTCAGTTCTTCTACGGTCTTCCTTATTTACTGTCCAGCTTTCGCATGCTTATGTGGTTATTGAAAATCCCATGACTTGGGTCAGGTGCTCTTAGTCCTCAAGCTGACATCTTTGCTCTTCAGCACTCTAAAAAAGGTCTTGTGTAACAGATTTGCCTAATGCAATATGCCATTTGATTTCTTGACTGCTACTTCCATGAGTGTTGATAGTTGATCCAAGAAGAATGAAGTCCTTCACAACTTCATTTTTTTTTCCGTTGATAAGAATGATGTTTATTGGTCCAGTGGTGAGGATTTTTGTTTTCTTTACATTGAGATGCAATCCGCACTGAAGGTTGTGCTCTTTGATCTTCATCGGTAAATATTATAAGTCTTCTTCACTTTCAGCAAGCAAGGTTGTATTATATGCATATCGCAGGTTGTTAATGAGTCTTCCTCCAATCCTGATGCCACGTTTTTCTTCATAGAACCCAGCTTTTCAGATTATTTGCTCAGCATACAGGTTGAATGGTGAAAGAATACAACCCTGTCATATCCCTTTCTTAATTTTAAACCATTCAGTGTTCCCATGTTCTGTTCGAACAGCTGCCTCTTAGTCCATGTACAGATTCCTCATGAGCACAATTTAGTGTTCTGGAATACTCATACTTTGCAGTATTGTCCATAGCTTGTCATGATCCACACAATTGAAAGCCTTTGCATAGTCAATAAACCACAGGTAAACATCTTTCTGATATTCTCTCCTTTCAGCCAAGCTCCATCGGATATCAGCAATGATATCCCTTGTTCCATGTCCTCTTCTGAATCCAGCTTGAAACTCTGGAAGTTCTCTGTCAATGTATGCTTGCAGCTATTTCTGTATTACCTTTAGTAAAATTTTACTCACATGGGATGACAAATAGATTGTCCGATGATTTCCGCATTCCGTTGGGTCACCTCTTTGGAATGGGCACACATACGTAACTCTTCCAATCGGTTGGCCTTATAGTTGTCTTCCAAATTTCTTAGCAAAGATAAGTGAGTGTCTCGAGTGCTGACTCACTTTCTTGAAAGATTGCAATTTTTATTCCTTCATTTCCTGGAGCCTTGTTCTTTGCTATTTCCTTCAATGCAGCTTGGACTTCTTCCTTCACTATCATTGGCTCTTGAACCTCTTGAAACAGTTGAACATCAAACACTTACTTTCTTTTGGTACATTGACTCTGTGTATTCCTTCCATCTTCTCTTGGTGCTTTCTGCATCATTCAATAATTTGCCCAGAAAATCCTTCAGTAACAAAAGTGGAGGCTTGAATGTTTTTTCTTCAGATCCCTCAACTTGAGAAATGCTGAGTATATTCTTCCGTTTTGGTTTACTAACTCCAGATCTTTGCACATATTGTTAATCATATTTGACTTTGTCTTCTCGAGCTGATCTTTGAAATTTTCTGTTCAGCTCTTGGTCCTCCTCACTTCTTCCATTTGCTTTAGCATCTCTACACTGGAGAGCAAGTTTTAGTGTCTCTTTTGACATCCATTTTTACCTTTTCCTCCTTTCTTGTCTTCTTAATGACTTTTTCCTTTCTTCATGTATAGTATTTTTGATGTCATCCCACAACTCTTCTGGTCTTTGGTCTTTAGTGTTCTGTGTATCAAATCTGTTCTTCAGATGATCTGTAAATTCAGGTGGGATATATTCAAAGTCATGTTTTGGCTCTCGTGGACTTGTTTTCACTTTTTTCAGCTCCAGTTTGAATTTGCATATGAACAATTGATGGTCTTTTCCACAATCTGTCCCTTGCCTTGTTTTGACTGATGATACAGAACTTTTCCATCGTTTCTTTCCGCAGATGTAGTCCGTTTGGTCTGTGTATTGCATCTGGTTAGGTCCATGTTTATAATCATCTCTTATGCTGTCTAAAGAAAGTATTTGAAATTAACAAATCATTAATTTTGCAAAATTCTATCATGCGATCTCCAGTATCATTTGTATCACCAAGGCTATGTTGTCCAACTACTGATCCTTCCTCTTTGCTCCCAACCTTTGCATTCCAATCACCAGTAATGATCAATACATCTTAATTGCACATTTGATCAATTTCAGATTGAAGAAGTTGGTAGAATTCTTCTATTTCATCCTCACTGGTTTTAGTGGTTGGTGCATAAATTTGAATAATAGTGGTATTAACTGGTCTTCCCTATAGGTTCTTGGATATTATCTTATTACAGACAGTGTTGTACCTCATGACTGATCTGTATATGTTCTTTTTGACGATGAATGCAACATCATTCCTCTTCAATTTGTCATTCCCGGCATAGTAAACCATGTGGTTGTCAGATTCAGAATGGCCAATACCAGTCCATTTCAGCTCACTAATGCCTAAGATATCGATGTTTATGCATTCCATTAAATTTTTGACAATTTCCAATTTTCGTAGATTCATACTTTGTACATTCCATGTTTAGATTATTAATGGATTTTTACAGCTGATTATCTTTGTTTTGAGTTGTGCCCCATCAGCAAATGAAGGTCCTGCGGGCTAATCTCCCACGGGCTTTACTTCATGCGCGTCATCACAGTTAACTCTACTTTGAGGAGGCAGCTCTTCCCCAGTCGCATTATGAGTGCCTTCCAACCTGAGGGGTTCATTTTCCGGCACTATATCTGACAGTGTTTCTCTGCTATTCATAAGGTTTTCAGTGACTAAATATTCTAAAGTAGTTTGTCACTCCTTCTTCCTAGTCTGTCTTCATCTGGAAGCTCATCTGAAACCTGTCTGTCCACCATGGGTTGACCCTGTTGGTATTTAAAATACCGGTGGCGTAGCTTCCAGAATCACAGCAACTCACAAGCCACCACAGTATGACAAACTGACAGATGAG